ATTTAAATGTAGTGTTGTCTGCACTTTTGAGCGGCTTTCATAAGAACCATCCTTATTCCACGCTGGCGTTCTCACCCCTCTTCACCCTCATGCTGGGAATGTTGATTAGAGTCTGCCATATTATTACGCAGTCTTCCTTCCTTAGGTCTTATCAGAGTCCCTCTTGCCCAGCAGCATCCGTCTACCATCTCCCTGGTTCAGTATTTCGCTCGACCCCTGCTACCCCATCTGTCCTACTCGAGGCGTTATTACACATCCCCTGAGTCTGGGTAACTAATTTGAGGCTAAAGCCTCTGAGTAATTCTCTTGGTCAAGCCTTTGTTGCATGGACGTTGTCTATGGTAAAATAGGCCCATTATCAACCAACTAGATGGAGACTCTGAAAAGACCTAGTGAAGGAGGACTGCGTAACAATATGTCAGATAATCATTCTTAGCCCAAGAGTGAAGGGGGGTGAGAACGCCAGTGTGGAGTATGGAGGGTTCGCAAGGAAGCCGCTCAAAAAAGCACACTACTACGTTTAAATAAGCAAGGAAAAAGTGTAATAGTGAAAGCGTGATACCAGGATATGGGATAGGTGAATAGTACATGGCAGGATACCACAACTGTTTAGTACACATTTGTTCAAAGGATTGGCTTCATTTCTCTCTTTGGCGATTTGTTGTATGGTGCTAAGATTGGCAAGACTCACTGACGATGCCTTTGAAATGCCTGGGAATGTACCACATCCACGGTTCGACTCTAGAAATAATCATGCATGCAATGGATTCCGGACTAGGTGTATTCTAAGAATTCCTACCAATATGACCAAGTTGCGAAAACAAGGTCAACCAACTTAAATATAATGAAAGGAGACTGCGACCACTCAAAAGGCCACACAATCTTGGTCTCCATATATTTGATAAAGACTCTTATATTTGCAGTCTTAACAGATGACTTATTTTCACGCTTGCGTCTTTCTTGTAATAAGCTCTCTAAAACTAAATTCATTTCGTATGCGTTTTGCTGATTAACTTATACTTTGGCTACATGATGGTGGGAATGTCACAAAATTAATGTAATATTAAGTTATTTCACTCGAGGATTGCTTTTTATCTGTGTTTCTCTAGGCACTTGGTAGCACTTATATTGTGGCCTCACCATACAGTTATCGATTATCTTAACTTAACCTGGTCTTTGAATTGGATAAATCTTATGATTTGGCTTTTAACTTTTCTGACAACCTCCATGATCAGACCCCAGTACTATGGGAAAACTGTTTCAGGTCGAAATATTCCTGCGCTTCTATCGATAATGCCAAATCTCTGAATTTTATTACCCATTTTTTTGAAAGCCAATTAATAAAATTCCTTAGCTGTTTACTTGATTTGAATAGGCTTATTACAAACGACTTTCTTTTATTTCCAATTCTCGAGCTCGTCTTTTTTTGCGATTTCTTTTCTTTTTTTCAAAACATCTTTACCCAGACGCCTCAGTTTTACTGGACTTACTGACTTCTGATCTCATCCATGTTTGCTTAGGCAATATGCGAAGTTTTTCCGTAAGGATATCCGCAACTTCTGATTTTGCAACTACCTATGTTATTACTATATGCTACTGTTCTTGTTGCCTCTCAGTTGATCTAGCGTCTCGTCCATGCATGCATTTTGCTTTTTCTAATCCCTTCATATCGATGCAGCCTCAGAGCCTTTGGTTACTTTGTTCATAGGCATATTTTTATTTCTCCTTCATCAATATGCTTCTGTTAACAATCGTTGAGTGTTCTGCACTAGACTCCTAAGCAATCCAGTTTGTCCACCATGCTGCGGCGATGAGTTTGCGAAGTCTTGTATTTTCCTTCATAATCATCCGAGTATTTCATTTTACTAATTTTGGTTGCACTTTTTGACTTAATTCACAGGTGGGCAAGCATGTTCACTTTTAGGCATCCTGATATTTTCGCAATCACATTGCCAGCTGCTTTTACGACCCGCATGGACATCTGCTGCTTAACTTGTAATTATCTTAGCCATAGTTTTTATTTGAATTAGTCACATTTGTATCTGGATTTCTAGGTTTCACTAATATTGCTTATTTATATAACTTGTTTTCCAGTAATAAGAAAGTAATTTTGATCCTTTTCTCGTCATGCCTTTAGATCAGCGACCTAGTCGAGCATATAAATCAGATGAAGGTGCATCGTGAATTTTATTTAGAATTTAGTGCTGACCCGCAGGCCTTCATTTCGCGCTGGCTGGCCAGTCAGTGTCGCGATCTTCGCGTCATGACCGATGCCATTCCAGGCCACCCGGAAGAAGAGAGGCGATCGGAGTTCTATTATGCCCCTTGGATGCAGGAGGCTGTGATGCGGTACTTCTATAACAGGGTAAACCTAGCCAAAATATTTTTTGCATATTCTATTTTTTACTTGCTTACTTGATTTACTTATAGATACGAAGAAAAACTGGGTTGGATGAATCTCCTGAGATAACATTGTTAGAGGGACCTTCATTTCGTATGAAAGTGCATGAAGAAGAGATTCATTGGTCGATCTCAT